CCGCCGCCGCCGCCGCCGCCGCCGCGGGCGCACTCGCCGGTCGCAGTGAAAAGGCGGAGGCGGCGGCCGCTCGGGCTCGGCTCCGGTTCCCGGAGCCGACCCCGCCGCACCCCCTCCCCACATCCCGCACCCGCCAAACTTGATGTGACCCCAGCCTGACGCGGCGGCTGCCCCTCTCACCGCCCCGTGCGCCCCCCACCGCCACTCCGCCCCGCACTCCCGGAGCGCACCGCTCACCGCGCCCCTTCCCACCTCCTCGCCGGGGCCGGGCGCCGTGCTCGCCCTCAGCGTTCCCTTCCCCTCGCCACCCCCACCCCACCCCCCGCACCATGAGCAACCTGAAGCCGGACGGCGAGCACAGCACCAGCACGGGCACCGGCACGGGCTCGGGCTCCGGCGGCACTCTGGAGGAAGAGGTGGGTCTGCGGCCCCGGGACTTGGGGTGAAGTGCACGCGGAGGAGGGCGGGGGAGAGGGCGCGCGGGGCCTCCCGCGCCGCGCGGGGCCGGTCTGGCAATCGCTCGGGGCTCTTTCCCGCCGCTGCCCTTCGGTCGGGGAGGAGCAGCCCGTGTCCGGCGGGCGGGGGCGCGCGGCCTGGACTGCCCCGCCGGGCGGGCATTGTCTCCCCGCCCTCCCGGGCTCGGGGCGGGCCGCGCGCCGGCCGCCGTCCGTGCGTCCCGTGGTGGGCGAGCGGCTCGGCGTCTGCCCCACGCCTGCTGCCCGCGCGTCCCTCGTTCTCCACTCTTGGCCCGGGCCGCTACCCGAGGAGCTCCTCCGGTACTGCTGGGACTCCCGCCTTTGCTGGAAGGAACTGAGCGGGATTAGCACCGAGGGCGGGCGGCACCCTCACCCTCTTGCACTTTCCACCCTGACCCCTCCCGGTGACCTTGGAGGCCCGGGACGGCTGCCCGGCACCTTGGTTCGCTGTAACTGAGCTGTAGTCACGGGAGGTGGACGGGCTTTGCTTGCAGCCCCAGAACCTGGGCTTTGGCAAAGAGGTCAGCGGGGCAGTTAATTAGAGTTGAGAAAGAGATGCCTAAAGATACTTCGTTCCCGGTTCTCCCTCTCCCCTGCCACCCCCCTCCACCCTGGTTCTGCCCCAGCAGGCAATCCAGGACCCCAGAGCTGGCCTGGGTGGGATTCTGCAAGGAAAGGCGACATTATCTTGTCCACCAGACATGTACTAAGTATGAGGAGGGAGTGAGTGTGAGGCGGCTTGGCTTCGTGGAATCAGCAGCAGCTGTGTGGTTAATGGGATGGCGAAATCGGGGAGGGTGTGTGGCAGGGGTGATGATGAGGTGGTGAATGGAAGCCTTAAGGCTGAGGGTGGCGAATGGAGACCAGGAGCTGGGCCGACAGAGACAAAAACTGATGCGGAAAGGGGACGACAGGCTTTGCATCTCTCTCCAGGGGCCTCTGGCCTCTGCTGTGTCACTCCAAGGCTAGGAGACCCTTCCTGCCGCGCCCTGGCAAGCTCTTGCCCAGGAAACCAAGGGCCAGTTATCCACCCTGAGCTCCCTTCCCCTTGGTCTGGGGGAGAAACCGCAGATCCCCTGGTGGAGGCTGGTGTCGCTGACCTCCCTCACCTCCCTCCAATGTAGTGGCGGTGGTGCCGGCTGACCGTGCTCTGGGTTTGGTGCAGAATGGCGGCAGTGGCCCACTGCTGGGCTGGGCTCCTCACTGTGGGAGGGATGGTGGGAGGGTCACACCACCAGCTCCCACTCTTAGTAATTCAGAGGCCTGCTGCCAACCCTAGTCCACCAATGGCATGGCATCTTGAGAATCTAGGTCTAGATCTCACTTTTTAGGGAGGGAGGGAGGGTGGGGGAATATATAACTCTTGACTCTGAAGGGTGGAAAGGGAGGGCCTGACATTTGTCCGCTAGTTTTGTGTGGGCTCCAGAGCGGTGGGGTGGTTTTGCCTCCTGAAGGCCCTGTCCTCCTTGGACCTTGACATGCTGACAGGCCCGTGGCACTGATGAGAACCTTAACCCCATCCTGACGCCACCTGGTTGTTCAGAATCTCACCTGAGAGTTGGGGGGAGGGTGACAGGGTTGCTGGTGTTGTGGGGGCGGGGGGGGGGGGCAGATCGCTGCTTGGCCTCCTGGGGGTTGAAACTGGGAGAGGGAAGCCATCTCCTGTGAAGCTGGGCAAGGACCCAGAATACCGCTAATGCTAGAGGGTTGACTTCAACAGGGAGTTTACCCAAGAGGTTGTGCTGACCCTCAGACTTACCCCTTTGAAGTGGGAAGGGTGAACCATGTGGCCAAGCTAAAGTCTTAAAGCATTTGAAGTATTGGTCACTTTTTTTCTAAGTGCCTGTTCTGAGAGAGAGGGCAGAATCTTCAAGAAGTGGAATCCCTGTTAACTTCTCCTTGCGGGTAGAGGTGGGTTATAGCACTAGTGCTGCCGTGTGCTGATGGAGGGGCACAGCCCTGTGTTTAATAGAAGTCTAAAACTAAAGGCTCTGGGAATCTCCTGGAGCCCAGTGTCTGCTCTGGCCAGGTAATTGCAAGGATGAACCCCCTCCCCTCATTAGCCCTCTGGGCCAAGATCTCTCCTACTGAGGTTCCATCTTGAATTGCTGGTTTGAGCTGGAACTGGATTCCTTCCTTTAGCTTCGATGTCCCCTAGGCAGTCATTTCTGCATCCCCCAGGAGCCACCATCTGGGGAATCTGTTAGCAGTGGTAGTTTACTTTCATGACTAACCCAGGCTGGCTGTTGGAGATTAGGTAAAGCAAGCCTAGAGAACCAAAGAGTCCTACTCCCCCTACTCATTTCTAAAGGTGTTAGGTTTCTGGAGAAAGGGGTATGTTTTCGTGGTTCCAGAAGGGGTATCAGTGGGGCTCCTCATTTTAAGCTCCTTTGCATGGGTTTGACTCCTCCTGCTTGGCCACCCTACCCACTGGGGCTTTGTGTCTATCACAGGCATTAGGTTCCTTTTCTGGACCAGGGGTCAGGATTCCAGGTGAAAGATCACAGACTGGAAGGTGAGAAGGACTTGCCAGGAGGGAATGGGATGTGGTGAAATGAGGGGACATCACCAAGTGATGCAGTGGTACCACTGAGAAGGTAGAAGTGAGCCCTCCCTGAGATGTAGCTCAGTAGGAGGTTCTTAGACTTGTGCCGGTCAGAAGGCATTCCAAGAAGAGGGAATAGCATGTGTAAAAGTGAGAGGTGGATCGTGGAGCCACATGACTTCCAGGAGTTTGCTAGCTTTCAGCAGTAGTGGGGGCCACATTGTGAAGTGCCTGAGATCATGCATGGTTGGGAAAATTGGCATTTTCTGTCACTTGGAAAGGAGAGGTGTTAGAAGCTCTCCTACCCTTTGAAAGCTAAGGAGGGCAGTGAAGAATTAAGGAGAGGGTCTTCAGGGGAAGAACTGAGTGTCCCTTTCAGTCTAGAGCCTCTACCTTAACCCAGGCGGGTCATAGCTGGTGCTAGAACTCCAGAAGGTGAGGTCAGACAGCCCAGGACAGGCTTGCCTGTCAGGCTGTAGAATCCCAGACCCAAGCTTGTCTTAGTGATTCTTTAGGGATGGCTAGAGAGTTACAATGTTTCTGGGGAGGGGTACATGTGGTTTGAAAATGGTCTGTTTTGAAAATGGAGACTTTAATTTCATAGTACAAGGTAATACTAAGTTACAGTAATTATTCATTGTGGGGGGGCTGCTAAGGAAAGTAGTATTTGGAATCTTGGGTGGGTGGAGTTCAAGTTTCTAAGAGTTGAAGTTTTTTTGCCAGCCTAATGGTAAACTGTAGAGAGGCAGGCATTAATGGCAGCCAAAGGGGCTACAGTTTGACTGGAGGGTCTTGGCCCCTTACTGCCCTCCCACTCCCATCTTTGCTTGTCCACAACATCCAGTGGATCTAGGCCATTGTGGCTCCTTGCAGGCAGGACACCCCTGGGTCCACCGTGTGTCCTCTAGAGGTCTCTGCACTCTAGATGAAGGTGAAGGAATTCTGGGACCCAGCATATGACTCAGCCACTTCCTCTTTTCTCTGCCATTAAAAACTTTGACAAAATCTGGGGCGTCTTGATGCTGTATCTGCAAGCTCTTTTTTGGTATGAAGGTAGGGAGGAGTCTATACTTCTGGGCATTTACCTGGACACAGGGTCCCAGCAGGTAGATCCAGGCAGATGCTATAGGCTGGGCTGCCTTCCTCCCTGGGGGTTGTTGTGCATGTGTCTTCTCTATTCAAATAACCTAATAGAGACGCTGTCCGATTAGTAGTAGTAAGCCCATACACAGTGTTTGAGTCAGGTATTACCTGAAGTAATTCACCCTTTTACCTCCTTGAACTTGCACAATAACAGCACTGTGAATTATTGTCATTACTGTTTTATAAATGAGGAATCTGAGACAGGTTAAATAACTTTTATGTAGTTAGTAGGTAAGTTGGGATTTGAACCCAGAGTTTGCTCTGAACCACACACTCACTATATCTGCTGTTTTGTTTTATATTAGGGTTTTGGTGAGTTTGGGGGATAGGGGGAAAAAAGATCCTGCAACTAAAGTTTTTGAGGCCTGAGCTCTGGGTCCTGCTGTTCCAGATTAGTTCCCTTTGGGCTGGGATAGGTGTCTGAAGACTGGGTGATGGGAGCTGGCAGCCCTTGTAGAAGGAGCATCTTTATCACCGACAGGATTTAGAATTGCCAGTGCAGGGTGATAATAAAAGGAGATCAAGTCAATTTTACTATTGTTCAGTTCCCTACAGGCAATACAACCCCTTGTTGCCTGTGCAGGGGCTTACTGCTTTCATTCCTTCCCCCACCCCACCCCCTTGCCCTGGTACCCTGATGCTTTGGACATCTTAAATAGGAAACGGTACCCACTCTAAAGCAGCTGCCTGTCATTTTTGTGGGGGTGGGTCATTCCGTTGGGTCTCCTCTCCTCCTTCCCTGCTCATGGGCAGCCTGGCTAGCTTATCCCAGTAGGAACCAGCTTCTAAATCCATTGAACATTTGGACATAATGATTTCTTCTTGTTCTCATCTCCAGAGAGGGTCTGGTGAGTACTCAGAGTGGAGTCAAGACCTGAAGTGCGGGTGCCTCGCTTTTTGCTCTCCTGGCCTCTAACCCATTTATCCCATTGGGGCTCCAGACAGTCCTGAGAGATATAGGTGTCCATCCCACCTGGCCTGGGGGCTGGATTCCTGCTCCATGGCCTCCAACCTCTGGTTACCCAGAGCTGAGCTAGAGTGCTAGGTTCTGGTACCACCCAATGGCCCCCAGCCTCTGCCGGGCCATTGGTTTTGGGTAGCACTGACATCTGCTAGTTTCTCTGCCGTTCCCTGACCATGGCTGCCTTAGAGGGGTCCTCACACTCCTGGCAAAGCCACGAGGCAGTGGGGCAGAGCCCATCACTAGACTTCAGAAACCATGCTGCTGTGAGGCCAGAACTATATAGATAGTCCACAAAGCTCTGTATGCCAGAACCCCATCTACTCCCTGCCCAGGGACAACATGGCTTCCCTCTTTCCGCTGCTTCTCCATCCTATCCTTGGATGGAAAAAATGTGGTTACCTCTGAGATGTGCCAAGGCTGACAGGTGGGGTCCTCCCTTCATGAAGAGTCCACTG